CTATGAAGTTCATTAATTTATAAAAGGTATTAAGTGCAGTGTGCTGAATTAAAATAAATTTTCGATGCATTACAACAATGCCTTGCTGGTCGTTCGAGCCTACGACAACTAACACACTAGACCCGTCCGTTCTTGTATCCTACAGCCATTCATTTTCGTAGTTCACCATTCCGATTGTGTTTTAGGGTGCTCAGGGGGTTTTGTCATTGATGTCACTCTTTCGCCTATTCGGCAAGTTTTATAGTGTGAATCTGTTAGATTTAGATTATTTAGAAATCACTGAAACGGAAGAGTAATAGAGCAAGGCGAAGAAGTAAAAGAGGTAGTAGAAGAAACAGTTAGTAGGTACAGCAAATAGCAGAAGTGGCAGTAAAAGAAGGGAAAGAATTTAATGCTTTTGTGATCTTTATCTCTACTTCTGAGCTTTCAGTCCGGGATTTTACATGACCGTAAAAATGGGAAGCCATCAGAGTTCCTGGTACAGTAAAGTTGTCCCTGTCCTTGTTACACAACGCTTAATTTTGGCTCGGTAGCCCCTGAGCAGTCATCGTCATCCCTTCAAGCGACAAAGAGTAAACGGCTGGCTTGTCGGAAGAACGATGCGCAGTTTCTTCCTCCGAAAGTGACAATGCGTACAATCTTCCAATAATTCCATCGGTTGGCATGTGGGTGTGATCTTCAGACCTTGGAGCCAAACTTCGTTTAAGATTATGCGAAGCTGTCATTTTAAGCCAACGCCTTCAGTGTTCAAGCTAGACTTTCATGGTTACAGCATCGGCGCAGAATTTTGCTTCGCTTGTCATGTCATTTAATTTGAACCTAGCTGTCCTTCAGAAGAACTGTCATATCACGTGACTGGTGTCTGTTGCAAAATGGGCATAAAAAAGCCAAGAATTAAGTCAGAAATGTTAAAAAGCAATTTGTAGCTTTCTCAGAATGCATAATCAAGGAAATAGTCCCAGAATTAATGAGTTTACACAATCGAAAGGGCATAATAAAACGGAATCTATGCTTCAGGCTTAGTGTTCAGCTTCTGAATGGATATTTCTGCGTGTTTTATGCTACTCTTGCGAACGATCTCTAACGCTTGGTAAGTGTGCCCTGTCGCAGCGCAGTAAAGTAGGCTTTTAACAGTTTGGTGTTGTGCCGATGATCCTGTGTAAATTGAGACTTGCCGCCGCAGTGAACTTCAGATTTTGCACATAGTTCAGAGGTGGTCGTTAACGTGAGGTGGTATGATTTGGTTCTCATCGCATTTGCCGTCGAACTCGCGGAATTGCTACGGTCCCACAGTGATATGATCGACAGCCTCTGGAGTGCGTTTTTGGGAATGTAGACAGGCGGCAAACCAAGACTCCTGCCTACGGTGTCTTGACGGATGTTGCAGACATTGACAACGCAGTCCACCTGACGTCTGCCGTGGCTGTAACACAAGGGCAACAGAGGCCACTGTACACATGGGATTAACCGTTTAAATTTGCGCCAACAGGCTCACAAGTTTCCAATCAGTTTAGCGTCTACATCACCAGAAGCCGTAATTAGACGAGGATCTTAACGCCTAGTACATCTAACTATGCCGATATTTACCAGACGATTGTCATCTTCATCTACTTTATAAAAATACATTACAGTTCACAAAGTGGGTGAGGTAGTGGGGTTCAGTTCAATATCATTATGCAGTATGAATCCGCTGTGACTTAAAAACAGGCATAAATCTAATGCATCCTCAGATTCCATTCTTTGTACACGCGTTACCGCCGTAAGCAACAGTACTAACAAATATGTATCATTTATACACCGGAACTAATGGTTTGAACCCTGAATGTCGAAAGCTGACTAGCACTTTCACAATATCTATCATGTATAGAAATGATATTCATAAAAAAACGTGCAATAAATCTTTAAAAGAACTCTTTTTAAATTTTTTAGCTGTACATATATTTGGGTCTGAGCTTCATTTCTGGACTCCAGTTTCGTTTTTTCAGGAAACATGAGTTCAACGCCACTGAACAGTTCCGACGCATCGAGGGACCTATCCAATTCGTCTCTGCCGTCTAGTCCTGGCGTAACCATTGTCCAAACACCTAGAGCTGGAACTCTGATACCTAACCGAATATTCGTCGGCGGTTTCCCTCCGGGAGTAAGTTGAAAAAATTTCACAACTTTACACTAAGTTGCGTAAATTATGTACGTTCCCTTTCGTATGTCAATTATCCAACATTTTTTGTATGTTCTTTTCAGCTCAGTTCACTAGTTTCTATTTGTATAGTGTATAAAGTTAGTGTCAGTTTTCGCACAGTGTTATGCAATTGTTGTTAGCGAGTTGATACACTGTTATATTGTATTTACAACGTATATGATATATATGCTCATCATATGAGAATAGTTTTATATGCGTAATGCACTAATCCCTGTAAGCTGATGTTGCAAATAAGCCCTTGCTACTAAAGCACTGTTTAACTAAACCATAATGAGTCCATGGCATTTTAGCACCGGCAGCGAATGCTTCTTATTAGTTAACTAGAAATCAGTAATACTTTGTAATTTGTGGTCAGCCTTAATTCAATCACTAATAGTTCAATGTAACATTTTACAAATGCCGTTATTTATAAGAATACATCAATGGAATGAATTAGACTGGTTTTACCGTCATTGAAAATCTTAGAGCTTATAACTTTAATGGGACCATTACCTGAGATCCATATATGATAAAACTCATCCTAATCATAATTATTTTTTGATCCATTCCTGTATGAAGGCCTTCCGTCACATTCCCATATGCTTTTGTTTTTGCAGTTCTTATCGGTCTTCATCCAACGCAGCTTTTTAGATCATCCTACCATCGATTCGAAAGTCTTCCAACGGGCCGTTTACTCTCTTCAAACCCCCGAGCCTAACATATTTCTGGTCCAGTGGTGCCCGATTCTTCACGTAAGCTTTCCCGCATATTGTCACTTTGACTTCTTTACTCGCGCAGTAACGCACTCTTCCTGGTGCTGTTATCCATTCACTCGCCTTTTCTTGTTATTCCCAAAGTACGACTTTCCATGCATCGTTGCATGAACAGCTTTCAGCCTTAGAGCTCCATGTTTTACACCAACAGGTTAATTGGAAACACCCATAGATCGAAAACTATGCGTCTGCCCGGTTTAAGTAGGACATTTTGTCCCGGATAAGAAAATTTTCGGTCTTTCAAAAGTGTTTGTGTCCTTTTACTCGTTTGTTGAATTCGCAGAATCAGTTTTCCGTTGCAGAGATGAACTGTTACAGAGAGGCATAATTTAGCAGTTCTTCATGCTTAAATCCGTTGATTTCACAAGTCGTTGGGTTACGCCTTCGTTAAGCATAACCTGAACCTGTATCAGGTTCATTTTCAGTACTGCTTTGATGCTGGAATCATTCATGTGTGGAATATTCGTTGGAATTCTTCTGGTGATTTTGAGAGGATCAGAATATCGTCTTAAGTAATGTCCCGCTTATCTTCAGCCCCTGATGTTAAAGTAAAAACATTTTAACTTGTCTTTTATTGATGATTAATATAGGTAAGTCTTTATTAAGTTTTTTAAATTCATCTTCATAATAATCAGGAAATTAACGATCGCTAAAACTTTCTGTTTCAAGCATTCAGAGCAACAATTGAGTTTCGTTATTTTTACGCGACCGGCACCTGTGAGGCTAAAACTTTTTCATCTTTGTAAAGGGTGGCAACTAGCAGAATGCGAGATCGCAGAAGATTGCAGACCGCAGTGAAGTGTATATCCCTTAACTGCTGAAAGGAGCCATTAAAGCCTGTTTTGAAGCCGGCTAAAGAAAATCTTAACGAAAATCCTCATCTGTGGTTTAGAGATGAAATAGTTATGAAAAGAACAATTCGACAGCAGACCGCAATGGAACGAGTGGAAGTCATTGCTTTTACGACTTCCAAAAAAACGGGCAATCAAAATATTTTTCATTGTGTCCCCCCTCCAAACGGGCGAGAAAACGTTAAATGTTAAATATATTTGAGGAAAGTAAAGAAAGATCATTCCGCTACATCCTTCGGTCAATTCCTGGGGACAAATCGGGAGAAAATACGTTTTCTACATCTGTACTTTTATGTCGCAATCCATTGAACGGAGGAGGGTGTTGACGCTTGCACTGTCCAATGTACATGCGTAAACGCCAGAATGGCCTTCGTATAAGACCACTTTGGAAAAGAGTGAGTCTTCACCAGTCAACCAAATTTTATAACATTAACCAAAAATGTTTTTGTAAGTATAAAATGGTGTTGGCAATAGTAGGATACATAAAATTGTCGATAAAAATTAATATAAATCAACCATTTGCATTCTACATGTGGCCTGAGGATCTATACGAGAGCACACAGGCTATACTTGGTCTGCAACTTTTGCTATGCAAACGGTATTGCAATACACGTTGAGTGCCTTTCATTTTAAATATCAGAAGAGAAAATTGATATGGCAAAAATGCCCAGCCTGAATACAGTTGCCTAGTCATTCGACAGAAATTTTGTTTTCATTTCGCGGGTTATAAGTAATGCCATAGTCAGAAAAATTTGGTCTCTCCTCTTGTAGATAAAAAGCAAACAAATTTTTGTTTTGCAGTGCGGTACAATGCCAAATAAGATGAGTTTTCTATAGGCCTCGTGAATGCTAGATCACCGATGCATGATCAATATCTTGAAAAAAAATTTCACTTTCCGTATCACTGAGTTCCGAATGAGTTTCAGTAAGTCGGTCAATCACTCAAAAAGTCACTTACTCACTCACTGAGTCAGTTAGTCAGGCACGCAGGCAGAATTCACTGACACTCTTGTCCCAGATTATTCTTTGACGCCCTCCCCCCCCCTCAGGGGCTTTCAGCCGATTGGTTGAGCAAGAACTAACTCTTTCGCCTTCTTTTCTGGAAGTGTTCGCACGACTTACCAAAATTATTGCAGTTACGACTTCTCAATGTGGAGAAACAGCGAATATTTGAACTTGGGATTCTCTCTTGGACGCATGAGCCCATCGGTTCGTTTCAGAAAACCGACTTCAATCGCTTATATCCTGGATCGAGATTTTTCACTCATGACCACATGTGCGTTCGTAGACGATAATTGGTATGAACACAGTCAGCGTCGTCCACAGACTCAACTCTGCCTTAATAAATGGCTTGTACAATTTTGATGCTTTAACAAGCTTTAAGCCAGCCACTACCAGCTTTTGCACACGACGTTGCCTCTGTTTAATTTTTAAAGTCAGCTGAAACTTCAGACCGCGGAGCATGAACTTCGGACCTTTTTCGAGCAATTCGGCGACGTTAAAGATGTGAAGATCGTTCGAGACTGTACCGGTGTATGTAAAGGGTATGCATGCTTCACTTGAGAGACAGACCAGAGCTGAACTGCGATCCATTTCCTGAATTTAGATATGGTTTCATTACTTACGAAACAGAGGAAGAGGCAAAAAACATACAGACAGTAAGAAAATATAGTGAATTATTAATTTACGACATTTAATTTTACTTTTCATTTGATTTCCAGAAATGTGGAGTATTGGAATTTAAAGGACGACAGTTGAACATCGGCCCTGCCATACGAAAGGCCAGCAGTCTATCCCGCACTATTGGTAACGAGCAGAGGCGAAACCGCCGCAAGTCCCGCTAAATTTTCGTTTAAATAATGCGTTGTTTTTTAAGACATCATTCCTCAAGGTACTGTTCTCTGCAACAACGGCATGCCCCTGACATTTCAGAACGGGCTTACGGTCTTGGCCAGTCCGGACGCGTACGCCGTCGCTCAACCGACCCAGGTACCGACGATTTGGTCCCGTGTTCTAATTATGATATATGTGACCGTTGCTACATCCCTCTTGTGCAGGCAAACTCCATGGCATATCCCGTCGTGGTGCCGCAACACGTTTACGTGGCACCGCCGTTGTTATGTTCGCAGCTGCAGTGTTTAAACGCGCAGCAGTTGCAGGGTATTTCATATGCGGGACAGACACCAAATAATAGTCAGGTAATGATTTATTGAATTTACAAGAATTTCAAAGATGTTAGATTTGATAAAGGGGGCAGTACAAATATTCTTTTCCATACTATCTTTCTGCTTTTTGTTTGCTTTGTAATGCATCAGGGCATCCTACTGTCACTGTCAGGTTTGTTGGCAGTTCCAACGCTCATAAAAAGGTTTCAGGGCAATTGTATTGGGCTGAGGGGGACGCAGACCTCATGTTTCGCCCTGAGTTTGCAACCCGTGCTTTGGTCACTATCTGTTCGTCAGGATACCTTCACCAAGAACCATATATGTTTCAAAACGTCGTTAATCTCTGTAACAAAATCCGTATGCGAGGCAATTCTGTGAGAAACATGACGACAATGATATTAATCTCCGGCATCAAAGAAGAATAGTCAGTTTTCAAATTTTTTGACTCCAGACCGAAAACATTCAAGAAGAACATTCAAGAACACCGGAAGAACAACTATATCAGGCTTGGCTCTACTTATAGGTACCTGTCGTTTTAAGATGCAAGATCGTTGGTGATCTTGCTACGAATTCAGCAGGGTTGCTCACTCCCTGAATTGGAAATAATTAATTATTTAAATAATTAGAAGGAAAGGATCCGTTTAAATATACCACTGTTTGTGAACTTTAATGCAGAATCAGTGTCTAGATCCCATAGAAATATCTTCTTTTGAAGAATATCCACCACTTTGATTTCCTTGTTCTTTGAAAAGTACTCGTGAGGACTTTGGCTCTTGTAAATGATTACATTATAACTCAGAACAATTCAACGACGCAAGCACAACAGTCGGCGGTGTCCGCCTCGTTGCCGAATTCGGTCAACAACATTCCGATAACCGCGATTGCGAATCTGACGATTTCCAGCTCTCCGGTCAGCGCTTCCGGTCAGTTTCGTTGGGCCAGTCCGGTAGGTATTTGACTTTTCTCCTTCTCCTCTTCTTCGTCTTTTTATATCACTTTTTGTGCTGTAAACTGTACACTAGGCCATGCCCGGAGCGGTAGCGACGCAGTACGTCTGCCAGAGCGCGGCCGGCTATCCGAACATACTGCAGGAGATACCGGCGTACGACCCGGCAGCGGCAGCCGCAGCGGCAGCGGCGATGGGCGCTTGTTACCACGAATATCCCGCGGACATTTTCGGCACGGCATTCGACTCTCCCGCGGAAGTAAGTAAGCGAGCAGTACATTTGAGGTGAA